AACAAACATCGATACACACCATAACAAACATCCATACACACCATAGCAACCATCCATATACACCATAACAAACCATAACAAAACATCCGCACATACCAAACAAACATCTATACACACCATAACAAAACATCAATACACACCATAACAACCATCCATATACACCATAACAAACACACATACACACCATAACAACCATCCATATACACCATAACAAACATCCATACACACCATAACAAACATCCATACACACCATAACAAACATCCACACACACCATAACAAACATCCATACACACCATAACAAACATCCACACACACCATAACAAACATCAATACACACCATAACAAACATCCATACACACCATAACAAACATCCACACACACCATAACAAACATCAATACACATCATAACAAACACCCATACAAACACACCATAACAAACTTCCACACATATCATAACAAACATCCATACACACCATAACACACATCTATAACACCATAACAAACATCCACACACACCATAACAAACATCCACACACACCATAACAAACATCAATACACACCATAGCAAACATCCACACACACCATAACAAACATCAATACACATCATAACAAACATCCATACACCATAACAAACACCCATACACACCATAACAAACATCCACACATACCATAACAAACATCAATACAAACCATAACAAACATTCATACAAACCATAACAAACATTCATACAAACCATAACAAACATCCATACACATCATAACAATCATCAACACACACCATAACAAACATCAATACACACCATAACAAACATCAACACACACCATAACAAACATTCATACACGTCATATACACGTCGTAACAAACATTCGTACACGTCATAACAAACATCCATACACAAACTATTGAAAGTCTGAGACGTTTGTCTCCAATATATCAACCCATTTTAAGTTAAAAAGGTCAAAGTTCATCTCTATTGAAATGTTCAAACAGTTGATGATGTACTTGCTCTGGAAAGGTCAATGCAAGGTTACACCATGGTTTTGTTTACCTGTGTTGACAAGTCATTTTAATTGAACATCACAAGTTTTAGAAGAGTAATTGCCCTTTGTTCCCCTAGGTTTACTGATTTCTTGCTAGACTTTGTTATAATGACAATATATTTATCATGGAATGGAGGTATATTATTCATCCGGCTGTAGCTTTGTTTCCATCTTGCAGTGAATCAATTTCTATTTTCAGTCTGCAGTGTGGAGGCTGTCATTAAAAGGGCTGTCACCCGAGCCGCTGAGGGTTGGACATAATGCCAGAGTTATGTCCTCTGCATAAAGATGAAAGTCCTAATTTCCATAATGAACATGATAGAGAAAACTATAACCTGACATTCCCATGCTTGGTGTTTATATATATGTAGAACTAAGTAAGTAATAACGACAGTATAGTCCAATCTTGGTACTGGATCCAAACATACAAATGTTCGTTGGATGCGTATTACTGGAATAGATATATGATCAATGAAGTAATAACGACAGTACGGACAGGTGGATTGTCAAGTATCGAGACAATCTGCCTTTTTAGACACAAATATCACATCAATTCCATCACATACATAGAACATAAATATTTTATGGTTAAAAATTAAAATTGAGAACGGTAGTGTAGATTTAATTCAAATTAGGTGTCTCGATAATAACTTTGTCTGATGGACACCGCAAATGATCACACAAACAAGGCCCAGTACTGTCATGAGACTGAGTTCTGCCATGAGTCTGAGGTCTTCCATGAGTCTGATATCTGTCATGAGACTGAAGGTCTGTCATGAGTGTGAGGTCTGTCATAAGCCGGAGGTCTCTCATCAGTTGAGGTCTGTCATGAGTCTGGGGTTTGACATGAGTGAAGGCTGTCAATAGGCTTAAGTGTTTAGAAGTCTAAGGTCTCTCATGAGTCTGAGGTCTGTCATGAGTGAAGACAGTCATTTGGCGTAGGCATTTTAGGAGTCTCGGGTCTTTCATGAGTCTGAAGTCTGTCATGAGTCTGAGGTCTTTAATGAGTTTGAGGTCTGTCATGCGTCTGAGGTCTGTCATGAGTCTGAGGTCTTTAATGAGTCTGAGGTCTGTCATGCGTCTGAGGTCTGTCATGAGTCTGAGGTCTATTAAAAGTGAAGACTGCCATTAGGCTAGGGTATTTTAGGAATCTGAGGTCTGTCATGAGTCTGATGTTTGTCAAGAGTCTGAGGTCAGCCATGATTAGACTGAGGCCTATGATGAGTCTGAGGTCTGTTATGCTGCTGATCCAAAATGTCTGATGGCCAAAATTTTGTTTACCAATCAGTTCTTAAATTTATCATGAGTAACAAGGAATTGTCTGTGCTCGTGCCATTTGAGGCTGGTGGTTACCTCACTGAACACTGAGACCTGTCCCATACCAAGGATAGCACAAACAGGTTTCTCATTTCAAAATATAAACTTTTCACAAAAATACTGGTCTGGTTATACAATACTGTAATCTCTGTGCTTATGGAGTCACATCGGGTCTGGTTACAGAATAGTGTAGACCCTGGGCTTATTATAAGACAAACCTTTGATAAAAAGAGATACAACAATGAAGACAGATAATCCCTCCATTTTATTAACAAGATACATGCATGAATCTTGTGTTATGAAAATAATTTCTGATTGTACAAGAAATCCAGAAAATCACCACAATGAATATAATGACCTGGAATTTTAAAGTGAACATATAATATTGCTTCTTGAACACTGAACGGTTAAGGTCTTTTAATCCAAAGTCTCACAGTGTTGTTACAGTTCAGAAACCATGAAGTCAAGTTTGTCACAGTTCTGTCACAAAAAAGTCACATTTCTGTCATAATGAAATCAAGATGTCTCAGTTCTGTCACAGTGAAGTTGCAGTTGTGACAGTTCTGTCACAGTGAAGTCACAGTTGTGACAGTTCTGTCACAGTGAAGTTGGAGTTGTGACAGTTCTGTCACAGTGAAGTTGCAGTTGTGACAGTTCTGTCACAAAAAAGTAAGTTCTGTCACAAAAAAGTCACAGTTCTGTCACAATGATGTTACAGTTCTGTCAAAATAAAGTCACAGTTCTGTCACAATGATGTTACAGTTGTCACAATGATGTCACAGTTCTGTCACAATTATGTCAGTTCTGTCATAATGAAGTCACAGTTCTGTTACAATGAAGTCACAGTTCTGTCACGATGTTGTTAGTTCTGTCACAATAAAGTAACAGTTTTATCACAATGATGTTACAGTTGTCACAGTTCTGTCAAAATGAAGTCACAAAGTAGCATCATTGTCAGGCTGTTGAGATAAAACTATACAATTATGCAAAAACATTTCACAGTTGTGTATTTTACAGAAACTGATGTCCGAACTCCTGATGATATTGTACACACTTCACCTTTATAAAGAAGACAATGATTTCTGTCTTCATTATCCATGAAAACTGGTAGAAAATCTCTGCCACAATGATATGTATCTAATTCATATCAGGATGGTTCCCTGTAGAACACAAATGGTTTTTCAATTACAAATTATAGCTAGAAATAAGGCAGATATATTGTTAGAACTACTTGTATATATACCCAAACAATCTTAAGCAAAGGGATGTTAATTATTTCTGTAGTTTCAAAATAAATTCTTCAATTTTCTCAAGAATAAAGGGAAGTAATCCAGGGTTAAAATTGAAGTTAAAACTTCAAAAGGAACTAAAACAATAGGTGATGTATAATTATATTTTACAATCATGTTTAAAAACCCATTTTAAAACCTTCTTTGAGGATCTGTTTTCAGTTCTTGAAGATTTGTTTATTTTTTTTGTGTGTTACAGGTGCTGTAAATGTTCATGAACTTGTCTTCATTGAATGTACTCAATGATGGCACAAGATATTTTTATTAAACACCTATGAAAAAAAGATGATTATTAGATAGCAGTCAGTTACAGGTGGATAATGGACAATATGCTTGTGCTGTATTACTGTCAAAAGATGGCTGCCTGTGGGCCACCTTGATTTCAAATCAGTCCAAAAAAGGTACAATGCACAACTACCAAGGGAAACCAATATCTATGAGATATCAGAAGGATCCATCCAGTACTTCCTCAGATATAGCAGTAACAAGATTTTATCTCAAAATCCAAAATGGCCACCTGTCGGCCATCTTGAATTCGAACAGTGAAAAAAGGTACAATGCATAAGTAGGGACCAAGGGGAAACTGCATATGAAATTTGAACATCCAATACTTTCCAAGAAATAGCAGTAACAAACTTTTACTTCCAAAATCCAAGAGGGCCACCTGTCGGCCATCTTGAATTCGAATCAGTCCAAAAAAGGTACAATGCATAAGTAGGGACCAAGGGGAAACTGCATATGAAATTTGAGAAAGATCCATCCAGTACTATTCCAGAAATAGCGGTAACAAGAATTGTTTACGGACGGATGGACGGACGGACCACGGACCACGGACCACAGACGCAGGGCAATTTGAATACCCCACCATCTGATGATGGTGGGCTAAAAAGTGTAAATCATTTTCTTAAAGAAATAGTTGCTAACTGTATTACATACAAAGATGTATCAGATTTGCAATGAAATTGAATATATTGTAAAAATGTACATTTTCTAATCTACAAATGTGGTTAAATAGTAAGTCCTATTTCAATATTTACATTCTATCCTTCAAACAGTGAAAACAACATATTTTCATTTAACATCAATTTTCCATCATGGCTGTAGTTTTGCTACATTTCTTTCATTTAGAAACATCTTTCAAGGATTTTGTATACGAAATAATGTCAAGCATGAACCTGCTTGATTAACCTGGGTAAACCAAAATAAGTAACAAGATAACATGGTTATATTTGGAATGAATTGGTGTCAACCTCTAACATTCCATGAAGAATATCTTTCTATTTCATCACACACATAATCTGATCTGAAATTAAAGTTTAAAATTTAAGTTTATTAAAGCATAACTTAAGAAAAAAAAATTAAAAAGTTTATTAAAGTGTAACTTAAAAGAAATTAAATTATAAAGAGAAATAGTTTCACAGTGAAAATATCACACAAAATGAATTGAACAAAATGTTATATTTCAAAACATAATAATGGCTTTTTGTTGCAAACTTTTGATAAAAAATATATATCATGAAAAAACATTTTATTTTAACGGACTTGTTATGTAATGCATGTTTTTTAGATACAGTAAAAATCACAAATTTATAGCTTTTTCTTCTGTAAAATATGAACCACAGTGGTCCAATATCTAGTCACTGAACATCACTGCAGTCTACTAAAAAACAGTAAGAAGGTCATGAAATAATTATAAAACATCCCTTTTACTTATAAAAATAGTTAGAAATGTTCACATTGAGAAATTCAATCATAACATACAGTTGTAAAGATTTAAAGTAAATTTGCTGATATAAAATAAACACATCTCACAAATTTTAAAGGATTTTTTGGTTGAAATAGGAAACATGACAATACTTCTTTGAATGCACTTTGTGAAAATGGAGTTTTTATCACTATTGTATGGGTAATTGGTTGTACCTAGAGTAATCACCCTTTGACAGTGACTTTTCAAACTTTGACCTTTGACCTTTTTAAATCTGTTGTATATTGTTGAGATCTTAATTTACTTCAATAACTTTTCACCATAACAAAGTTACTCCTTGTATAAAATTTGAAGGACACTGACAATAATTTTAACAACTTTTTTTTGACATTTTGATGTTCATTAATTACTTCCCTTTGTGTCAACAACAAGACAACCAAGGGAGATAACTAATAGGTGTGTTTGGGAACAAACAGAGATTCGCTGGCTGCTGCACTCCCATCTTCACCATTGTACTTCCCCACAGCTGCCAGTCCATTCAGCTAGAATGATAAAAATACTCTCGTTAATGGAGCACTGATTTAACAATGAAACACTCACTTAACAGACATTTTATCATATTATAGATACTAACACAGGGAAATATGTTGTAAATTTATCCAACATGTGACCGTACTTTGAGTCCTAATTTGTAACAACTATTGACCTTTAACCTTGACCAATAGCCACTTATCTCTTATGATATGTAGATGTTGGTGGTATGATGTTAAGGTGTGAATATGATCCAAATCTGTTCACAAGTTCAGGAGATCTCTTGCACACCAGTTTTGTCATGCTTGCATACACTCATGCTTGGGCACACTGACTCCAGAGGTCTCTAAGCAGTGACAACTTAAGAAACTTACTTTTGTACAGCTGACAAGTGACAAGTTAAGTAACTTTTGTACAGCTGACAAGTGACAACTTAACTAACTTTTGTACAGCTGACAAGTGACAAGTTAAGTGACTTTAGTACAGCTGAGAAGTGACAACATTGGTAACTTTTGAACAGCTGAGAAGTGACAACTTAACTAACTTTTGTACAGCTGAGAAGTGACAACTTAACTAACGTTTGTAAAAATGAGAAGTGACAACTTAACTAACGTTTGTAAAAATGAGAAGTGACAACTTAACTAACTTTTGTAAAAATGAGAAGTGACAACTTAAGTAACTTTTGTACAGCTGAGAAGTGACAACTTAAGTAACTTTTGTACAGCTGAGAAGTGACAACTTAAGTAACTTTTGTACAGCTGAGAAGTGACAACTTAAGTAACTTTTGTACAACTGAGAAGTGACAACTTAAGTAACTTTTGTACAACTGAGAAGTGACAACTTAAGTAACTTTTGTACAACTGAGAAGTGACAACTTAAGTAACTTTTGTACAACTGAGAAGTGACAACTTAAGTAACTTTTGTACAGCTGAGAAGTGACAACTTAAGTAACTTTTGTACAACTGAGAAGTGACAACTTAACTAACTTTTGTACAGCTGAGAAGTGACAACTTAACTAACGTTTGTAAAAATGAGAAGTGACAACTTAACTAACTTTTGTACAGCTGAGAAGTGACAACTTAACTAACTTTTGTACAACTGAGAAGTGACAACTTAAGTGACTTTTGTACAACTGAGAAGTGACAACTTAACTAACTTTTGTACAACTGAGAAGTGACAACTTAACTAACTTTTGTACAGCTGAGAAGTGACAACTTAACTAACTTTTGTACAGCTGAGAAGTGACAACTTAAGTGACTTTTGTACAACTGAGAAGTGACAACTTAACTAACTTTTGTACAACTGAGAAGTGACAACTTAAGTAACTTTTGTACAGCTGAGAAGTGACAACTTAAGTAACTTTTGTACAGCTGAGAAGTGACAACTTAAGTAACTTTTGTACACATTAGAAACTTACTTTTGCCCTATTGAGAAGCGTTGCTTGAGCATCGGCCAAGTTGCTATCTTGTCCCTGCCAAGCCTTTAGGACACTGGCTTGGAGAGCTCGACCGAAGGAGAAGCTAAGTGCCCAAGGCTTGCGTCCTGGGTATCTGTTGATGGCATTTAGATTTTCTGTGGCACATACTTCTGACTGTCCACCAGATAAGAAGGTGATACCTGAGGTCAAACACAACACCAGTTAAATATTAAATATCTCTTGTTTCTCTGCTTTGACACATTCTGAAATTAGAAACTAATTTAAAGATATCCATGAATTTATTACAATTACACATGTAATCCACAGATGGAAATCTCTCCTCACTGTTCAATGTGAAGCTGATATATTTCTCTTTAATAAACCATAGAGAACCATTATGTCACAACAAGGGACATTATCCAGATATCACATGTGGAAATTATCATACCATATCATACAAGAACGTCCCATCAAAGGGAGATAATATGTCCAAAGAAAGGGAGATCTTAAGTATGTCCCAATAAGGGCGGAATATACCCAAAGAAGGAGAGATTATAAGCATGTCTGAAATGAAAAACAACCAAACAAGAGGAAGCAAATGAGTTTACCTGGAACAGCAGCAGGCACAGTACGACTGAGTGCTTGGACAGTTGCACGAGCATTATCATCAGCCGTGTACTTCCTTGGACATGACTGACCAGCGGTCACCATGTTTGGTTTTAAAAGAGTACCTTCCAGGTAAACATGGTGGTCAGCTAAGGCCTTGTATGTGAAAGCAAGAACCTGAAAAAGATAAAAAGTTTAAATATGTATCCATTAATAGTCTGGTGTTACCTGTATCCATGAATAGTCTGGTGTTACCTGTATCCATTAATAGTCTGGTGTTACCTGTATCCATGAATAGTCTGGTGTTACCTGTATCAATGAAAAGTCTGGTGTTACCTGTATCAATGAATATGATAGTCTGGTGTTACCTGTATCAATGAACATGATAGTCTGGTGTTACCTGTATCAATGAATATGATAGTCTGGTGTTACCTGTATCCATGAATAGTCTGGTGTTACCTGTATCAATGAACATGATAGTCTGGTGTTACCTGTATCAATGAATAGTCTGGTGTTACCTGTATCAATGAACATGATAGTCTGGTGTTACCTGTATCAATGAATAGTCTGGTGTTACCTGTATTCATGAATATTATAATTTGGTGTTACCTGTATCAATGAATAGTCTGGTGTTACCTGTATCAATGAATATGATAGTCTGGTGTTACCTGTATCCTGGTGTTATGAATATGTAGTCTGGTGTTACCTGTATCAATGAATCAATGAATAGTCTGGTGTTACCTGTATCAATGAATAGTCTGATAGTGTTTACCTGTATCAATGAATATGATAGTCTGGTGTTACCTGTATCAATGAATAGTCTGGTGTTACCTGTATCACCTGTATGAATAGTCTGTCTGGTGTTACCTGTATCAATGAATATGTCTGGTGTTACCTGTATCAATGAATATGATAGTCTGGTGTTACCTGTATCAATGAATAGTCTGGTGTTACCTGTATCAATGAATAGTCTGGTGTTACCTGTATCAATGAATATTCTCGTCTTGTCTGTCAGGTATCAATGAATAGTCTGGTGTTACCTGTATCAATGAATATGATAGTCTGGTGTTACCTGTATCAATGAATAGTCTGGTGTTACCTGTATCAATGAATATGATAGTCTGGTGTTAACTGTATCAATGAATAGTCTGGTGTTACCTGTATCAATGAATAGTCTGGTGTTACCTGTATCAATTTTATAGTCTTGTGTTTCCTGTAATCATTAATAGTATAGTCTGGTGTTACCTGTATCCATGAATAGTCTGATGTTACCTGTATCAATGAATTGTCTGGTGTTACCTGTATCCATGAATAGTCTGATGTTACCTGTATTCATGAATATTATAATTTGGTGTTACCTGTATCAATGAATATGATAGTCTGGTGTTACCTGTATCCATGAATAGTCTGGTGTTACCTGTATCAATGAATAGTCTGGTGTTACATGTATCAATGAATAGTCTGGTGTTACCTGTATCAATGAATATGATAGTCTGGTGTTACCTGTATCCATGAATAATCTGGTGTTACCTGTATCCATGAATAGTCTGGTGTTACCTGTATCAATGAATAGTCTGGTGTTACCTGTATCAATGAATAGTCTGGTGTTACCTGTATCAATGAATAGTCTGGTGTTACCTGTATCTCTGAATAGTCTGGTGTTACCTGTATCAATGAATAGTCTGGTGTTACCTGTATCAATGAATAGTCTGGTGTTACCTATATCCATGAATAGTCTGGTGTTACCTGTATCAATGAATAGTCTGGTGTTACCTGTATCAATGAATAGTCTGGTGTTACCTGTATCAATGAATATGATAGTCTGGTGTTACCTGTATCAATGAATAGTCTGGTGTTACCTGTATGAATGAATAGTCTGGTGTTACCTGTATCAATGAATATGATAGTCTGGTGTTACCTGTATCAATGAATAGTCTGGTGTTACCTGTATCAATGAATAGTCTGGTGTTACCTGTTTCAATGAATATGATAGTCTGGCGTTACCTGTATCAATGAATAGTCTGGTGTTACCTATATCCATGAATAGTCTGGTGTTACCTGTATCAATGAATAGTCTGGTGTTACCTGTATCAATGAATAGTCTGGTGTTACCTGTATCAATGAATATGATAGTCTGGTGTTACCTGTATCAATGAATATGATAGTCTGGTGTTACCTGTATCAATGAATATGATAGTCTGGTGTTACCTGTATCAATGAATAGTCTGGTGTTACCTGTATCAATGAATATGATAGTCTGGTGTTACCTGTATCAATGAATAGTCTGGTGTTACCTGTATCAATGAATAGTCTGGTGTTACCTGTATCAATGAATTGTCTGGTGTTACCTGTATCCATGAATAGTCTGGTGTTACCTGTATCAATGAATTGTCTGGTGTTACCTGTATCCATGAATAAACTGGTGTTACCTGTATTCATGAATATTATAATTTGGTGTTACCTGTATCAATGAATATGATAGTCTGGTGTTACCTGTATCAATGAATATGATAGTCTGGCGTTACCTGTATCAATGAATAGTCTGGTGTTACCTGTATCAATGAATATGATAGTCTGGTGTTACCTGTATCCATGAATAGTCTGGTGTTACCTGTATCAATGAATATGATAGTCTGGTGTTACCTGTATCAATGAATATGATAGTCTGGTGTTACCTGTATCAATGAATAGTCTGGTGTTACCTGTATCAATGAATATTATAATTTGGTGTTACCTGTATCCATGCTTTAAACATAATAAGATATAAAGAAAAAGATTTTTCTATGTACCTGCTCAGATGGTATCTTGATATTTGTAAGATGATGATAAGTTTTTTTTATCAATTTCATCATTTGTTATTTCCTCTGAGGTCCAGTTTTATCAACAGTAAAGTTGAATCATCTCCATTCAATGATGCTTCAGACCAAAAAAAGTCTAAATTAACCTTTATCTCAACAGAAGAAGGCACACCTCCCAGCTATCCCTCTACTGACACAAAATTGACCCAGTTCATCTGACCCCAAGGGGTCTGATCATTCATTTATACAAAACTGAATCCCCTTAACCAAAGAGAAGAAGGATTTTAACCACTTTGCTCAATTTCCCCTATTAGGCCCTGTCCCTTCCACCCCAGGGACTAGTGGTGTTTTTTTAACAAGAGATCCCAGAGGGATCTTGGCGCCCACCATTTGAGGATCTGTTTTCAGTTCTTGAAGATTTGTTTATTTTTGTTTGTTTGTTACAGGTGTTGTAAATGTTCATGAACTGGTCTTCATTGAATGTACTCAATGATGGCACAAGATATTTTCATTAAGCACCTATTAGCAAATATCATTTAAAAAATATCCCAAAGTATTATTAGATAGCAGTCAGTTACAGGTGGATAATGGACAATATGCTTGTGCTGTATTACTGTCGACATCCAAGATGGCTGCCTGTGGGCCACCTTGATTTCAAATCAGTCCAAAAAAGGTACAATGCACAACTAAAAGGGAAACCAATATCTATGAGATATCAGAAGGATCCATCCAGTACTTCCTCAGATATAGCAGTAACAAGATTTTACTCTCAAAATCCAAAATGGCCACCTGTCGGCTATCTTGAATTCGAATCAATCCAAAAAAGGTACAATGCACAACTAGGGACCAAGGGAAACCAATATCTATGATATATCAGAAGGATCCATCAAGTACTTCCTCAGATATAGCAGTAACAAAATTTTACTCTCAAAATCCAAGATGGATGCCTGTCAGCCATCTTGATTTTGGATAAGTCCAAAAAGGTACAATGCACAACTTGGAAAAAGGGAAACCTGCATATGAAATTTGAGAAAGATCAATCCAGTACTTTCCAAGAAATAGCAGTAACAAACTCTTACATTCAAAATACAAGATGGGCACCTGTCTGCCATCTTGAATTCGAATCAGTTCAAAAAAGGTACAATGCACAACTAGGGACCAAGGGGAAACTGCATATGAAATTTGAGAAAGATCCATCCAATACTTTCCAAGAAATAGCAGTAACAAACTTTTACTTCCAAAATCCAAGATGGCTGCCTGTCGGCCATCTTCAATGCGAATCAGTTCAAAAAAGGTACAATGCACAACTAGGGACCAAGGGGAACCTGCATATGAAATTTGAGAAAGATCCATCTGGTACTTTCCAAGAAATAGCAGTAACAAACTATTACATCCAAAATCCAAGATGGCCACCTGTCGGCCATCTTGAATTCGAATCAGTCGAAAAAAGGTACAATGCACAACTAGGGACCAAGGGGAAACTGCATATGAAATTTGAGAAAGATCCATCTAGTACTTTTCCAGAAATAGCGGTAACAATCTTTTACTTCCAAAATCCAAGATGGCCACCTGTCGGCCATCTTGAATTCGAATCATTCCAAAAAAGGTACAATGCACAACTAGGGACTAAGGGGAAACTGCATATGAAATTTGGGAAAGATCCATCCAGTACTTTTCCAGAAATAGCGGTAACAAGAATTGTTTACGGACGGACGGACCACAGACCACGGACGCAGGGCGATTTGAATAACCCACCATCTATTAGATGGTGGGCTAAAAAAAAAAACTGATGAATGGCAGATGACAGACACTGCACCTCAATACCAGTTTACCCGTTCTTTGGACCAGGTGAGCTAAAAACAATCTAATCAACTACAACATGGATATCACATAAAAGTCATGTAATTTGTGAGAGTAAAAAGATGAAATATAGGTCACAGTGACCTTCATCTGGTATTGTATACACCAGAGTAAAAAGATGAAATATAGGTCACAGTGACCTTCATCTGGTATTGTATACACCAGAGTAAAAAGATGAAATATAGGTCACAATGACCTTCCTCTGGTATTGTATACACCAGAGTAAAAAGATGAAATATAGGTCACAGTGACCTTCATCTGGTATTGTATACACCAGAGTAAAAAGATGAAATATAGGTCACAGTGACCTTCTGATTTGGTATACAATAACTTCCTAATTGTGTAAAATAGAAAGTCAAATAGGAACTAAGCTAAAACTAGGATAAATTGATCTACTTCTTGTAGATATCACCACACATTAACATCTGAAACCCTTTGTGAAATCTGAGAGAGATGTGTTCCATATCTGTTGAAACAAGGATAAAGCAGGGTGGAACTATATATTCCTGTCCTATGGCAAAGAAACATAATTTGTTGTCTCTAAAAGAATAAAAATATGGAAATGAATGTGTCAAAATGTGAAGATGGAAAACAGTCCTTTATCAATTAATGATAAATCATTTTAGGGTGAAAATATGAAAGAAATCTCTAGACAAAACTGGAATGCTGAAAAAAACAAAGGGCAATAACTCCTTTAAAACTGTTGATTAAAACTATTGTATAGGAAAACGCCACTTCATCTCATGGTTATTAAGCCTACCAAGCTTGAGAAAGGTTGGTTGAAAATGTTCACAAAGTATGAACAACACCTAGCCATAATACATCAAAAGTTTGGACAAGCATATAAAAACCAGCAGATGGAAGAAACAGTGTTATACTGTCCCCTGGTCTGTCAAAAAATGTTTGAACACATAAATCAAGGTCACTTTAACATGAACTTGCCTGCTCTGTGACTTTTTGTGCTGTTTCAAGGTCATGGTCACCATCACATAACACCTCTGGCTCCACAATCGGCACAAGTCCATTCTGGGGGAGAGATGATAACACAACATCAAAGTCAGTACATATATACAATCACATACCACAAAATAACAAACTCTGTGACATATTTTGTCATTCAAAGTGTGAGAAATAATTCAGATCTAAGTGAGTAAGTTCCATATATAATGAAAGTACACCATCAAAAACCAACTAATTAGCCCCATCTGAAATGATAACACTGAAAACCTCTACAACATGAATTACTACGTATTTAAGCCCCATCTGAAATGATAACACTGAAAATCTCTACAACATGAATTACTACGTATTTAAGCCCATCTGAAATGATAACACTGAAAACCTCTACAACATGAATTACTACGTATTTAAGCCCCATCTGAAATGATAACACTGAAAACCTCTACAACATGAATTACTACGTATTTAAGCCCCGTCTGAAATGATAACACTGAAAATCTCTACAACATGAATTACTACGTATTTAAGCCCCATCTGAAATGATAACACTGAAAACCTCTACAACATGAATTACTACGTATTTAAGCCCCGTCTGAAATGATAACACTGAAAACCTCTACAACATGAATTACTACGTATTTAAGCCCAGTCTGAAATGATAACACTGAAAACCTCTACAACATGAATTACTACGTATTTAAGCCCCGTCTGAAATGATAACACTGAAAACCTCTACAACATGAATTACTACGTATTTAAGCCCCGTCTGAAATGATAACACTGAAAATCTCTACAACATGAATTACTACGTATTTAAGCCCCATCTGAAATGATAACACTGAAAACCTCTACAACATGAATTACTACGTATTTAAGCCCCATCTGAAATGATAACACTGAAAACCTCTACAACATGAATTACTACGTATTTAAGCCCCATCTGAAATGATAACACTGAAAACCTCTACAACATGAATTACTACGTATTTAAGCCCCATCTGAAATGATAACACTGAAAACCTCTACAACATGAATTACTACGTATTTAAGCCCCATCTGAAATGATAACACTGAAAACCTCTACAACATGAATTACTACGTATTTAAGCCCCATCTGAAATGATAACACTGAAAACCTCTACAACATGAATTACTACGTATTTAAGCCCCATCTGAAATGATAACACTGAAAACCTCTACAACATGAATTACTACGTATTTAAGCCCCGTCTGAAATGATAACACTGAAAACCTCTACAACATGAATTACTACGTATTTAAGCCCCATCTGAAATAACACTGAAAACCTCTACAACATGAATTACTACGTATTTAAGCCCATCTGAAATGATAACACTGAAAATCTCTACAACATGATTACTAAGCCCCATCTGAAATGATAACACTGAAAACCTCTACAACATGAATTACTACATATTTAAGCTCCATCTGAAATGATAACACTGAAAACCTCTACAACATGAATTACTACCTATTTAAGCCCAGTCTGAAATGATAACACTGAAAATCTCTACAACATGTATTGCTGTGTATTTAAGCCCAGTCTGAAATGATAACACGGAAAACCTCTACAACATGTATTGCTGCGTATTTAAGCCCCATCTGAAATGATAACACGGAAAACCTCTACAACATGTATTGCTGCGTATTTAAGCCCAGTCTGAAATGATAACACTGAAAACCTCTACAACATGTATTGCTGCGTATTTAAGCCCCATCTGAAATGATAACACTGAAAACCTCTACAACATGTATTGCTGCGTATTTAAGCCCCGTCTGAAATAACACTGAAAACCTCTACAACATGAATTACTACGTATTTAATTGTGTGACAAATGCTAACTTTGTGACAGATGCTAATATTGTGATGGGTGCTAATTGTGTGACAAATGCTAACTAGGTGACAGATGCTATTGAAATATTTTCTCACCTGTTGACAGATACTGGCATAACGGGCAAGAACATTTCCATTTTCTAACATAGCCTGATACGAGGGGGTGTGGCTACTAATCTTCAGAACACACCTCCATTTAGCAAACTGGGCTCCATCTTTCTTGTATTGGGCACATCTCTCACTCAGGCCATCAAGACCTGAAACAAAACTTACCAAAATAAAAAGGAATGCTACATCATCTTACAAGCCCGATATGTAACAAAGTAAGCAAAAGGTCATATGGGCCTGCATAATTTATTCTAAAAACATGAGGTCCAAGTAGGATCTCAATGCAATCCACGGCATGAATTTTATTGGTTCTTTAGTTAAACTTTTTTCGTCTTTTTCATTGCTTGCTCTTTCAGCTGCCATTTGGTTTTTTCCAATCAGTCCAAAAATCACAAAACTAGGGACTAAGTGGAACATATGTATATATATCATCCAGTCTTATTTTCTACATCTAAGATGGCTGCCTTTTTGTCATTTTTTTCCCTGACCAATCTCAAAATTTAAACAACATCACTTGGAGCCATAGCTAGCCTACATCTGAAATTTGAAAAAGATTCATTATGTATTTCTCAAAAAGTAAAGGTATAACATATTTCATTGTCAAAATCCAAGATGGTCGTCTGTCATTCATTTTGTTTTTCTGATCAATTTCAAAATTTAAAGTTCACTGCTAGAGAACCAAATTAAACCTACATATCCATTGCATTTTTTAAAAATAAAAAGTGACATCGAAATTTCATTTTCAAATATTCATGATGACCATCTATCAGCCAGTTTGTTTTTCTAATTATTTATAAAATTTAGAAAGCACCATTTGAACAACAAGGAAAGAAGTCTGTGTGGTAAAAGCAATAGAGTTATCTCCCCTACCCTGTATTGTTGATTCACCGTCTGTTCCTGCCAGAGGTACCATGCCCTTGTCCACCTTGATTCCTGGGATTATACCCATGTCCTGGAGAGCCTTCACCATGGAGACACCCTTACTTGTTGTCTGGTAAAATGTTTCATGGAAGAGAATCACTCCTCCAATGTTGTTAGCGAGGGACTTGTCAGCAGTAAACAGTAGCTCACGATAACGCCGTCTGTTCTCTTCAACATTTTCAACATTTATTGCAGCAAACCTTTTTCCGATTGTCCCTGTGAAAATGGCAAATGATAGGTAATAGTATTTAAAATGTTGGAACAGAAAACTAACACAAACTAATACAGGCATAATATAAGTCGAACAGAACTTTTGTGATAACTTTATCTATCAAATAAATAAAAAAGTAACTCATAACACTGGCTTACACTCTGATCTGGGGTTCAATCTCCACAAATGTAGAGCAACGGTTCCTAATTATCCCTTTAATAACTAGAATGACCTTATCAGGAGTCACACTGACCTGTAGACTCGTCAGTAGCTAGGATGGCCTCGTCAGGAGTCACACTTACCTGTAGACTCGTAAACAGCTAGGACACCCTTGTCAGGATTCACGATTACCTGTAGACTCCTCAGCAGCTAGGATAGCCTTGTCAAGGGTCACACTTACCTGTAGACTCGTCAGCAGATAGAATGCCCTTGTCAGGAGTCACACTTGTAAACTCGTTAGCAGCTTGGATGGCCTCGTCAGGAGTCACACTTACCTGTAGACTTGTCAGCAGCTAGGATGCCCTTGCCGGGAGTCACATTTACCTGTACACTTGTTAGCAGCTAGGACAGCCTTGCCTGGAATCACACTTACCTGTAGACTTGTCTGCAGCTAGAATGCCCTTGCCGGGAGTCACACTTACCTGTACACTCGTTAGCAGCTAGGATGGCCTTGTCAGGAGTCACACTTACCTGTAGACTTGTTAGCCACTAGGACACCCTTGTCAGGAGTCACACTTATCTGTAGACTTGTCAGCAGCTAGGATGGCCTTGTCAGGAGTCACCCTTACCTGTAGACTTGTCAGCAGGTAGGATGGTCTTGTCAGGAGTCACACTTACCTGTAGACTCGTCAGCAGCTAGGATAGCCTTGTCAAAGGTCACACTTACCTGTAGACTCATCAGCAGCTAGGATAGCCTTGTCAAAGGTCACACTTACCTGTAGACTCGTAAACAGCTAGGACACCCTTGTCAGGATTCACGATTACCTGTAGACTCCTCAGCAGCTAGGATAGCCTTGTCAAGGGTCACACTTACCTGTAGACTCCTCAGCAGATAGAATGCCCTTGTCAGGAGTCACACTTGTGAACTCCTCAGCAGCTAGGATAGCCTTGTCAAGGGTCACACTTACCTGTAGACTTGTCAGTAGCTAGGATGGCCTCGTCAGGAGTCACACTTACCTGTAGACTCGTAAACAGCTAGGACACCCTTGTCAGGATTCACGATTACCTGTAGACTCCTCAGCAGCTAGGATAGCCTTGTCAAGGGTCACACTTACCTGTAGACCCGTCTGCAGATAGAATGCCCTCGTCAGGAGTCACACTTACCTGTAGACTCGTCAGCAGCTAGGATGCCCTTGCCAGGAGTCACATTTACCTGTACACTTGTTAGCAGCTAGGATGGCCTTGTCAGGAGTCACACTTACCTGTAGACTCGTTAGCCACTAGGACACCCTTGTCAGGAGTCACACTTACTTGTAGACTTGTCAGCAGCTAGGATGGCCTTGTCAGGAGTCACCCTTACCTGTAGACTCGTTAGCAGCTAGGATGGCCTTGTCAAGTGTCACACTTACCTGTAGACTCGTCAGCAGCTAGGATGGCCTTGTCAGGAGTCACCCTTACCTGTAGACTCGTTAGCAGCTAGGATGGCCTTGTCAGGAGTCACCCTTACCTGTAGACTCGTTAGCAGCTAGGATGGCCTTGTCAGGAGTCACACTTACTTGTAGACTCGTTAGCAGCTAGGATGGCCTTGTCAGGAGTCACCCTTACCTGTAGACTCGTTAGCAGCTAGGATGGCCTTGTCAGGAGTCACACTTACCTGTAGACTTGTCAGCAGGTAGGATGGTCTTGTCAGGAGTCACACTTACCTGTAGACTCGTCAGCAGCTAGGATAGCCTTGTCAAAGGTCACACTTACCTGTAGACTCATCAGCAGCTAGGATAGCCTTGTCAAAGGTCACACTTACCTGTAGACTCGTAAACAGCTAGGACACCCTTGTCAGGATTCACGATTACCTGTAGACTCCTCAGCAGCTAGGATAGCCTTGTCAAGGGTCACACTTACCTGTAGACTTGTAAACAGCTAGGATGGCCTTGTCGGGTCACACTTACCTGTAGACTCGTCAGCAGCTAGGATGACCTTGTCAGGAGTCACACTTACCTGTAGACTCATCAGCAGCTAGGATGTCCTTGTCAGGAGTCACACTTACCTGTAGACTTGTAAGCAGCTAGGACAGCCTTGCCTGGAATCACACTTACCTGTAGACTTGTCTGCAGCTAGAATGCCCTTGCCGGGAGTCACACTTACCTGTACACTCGTTAGCAGCTAGGATGGCCTTGTCAGGAGTCACCCTTACCTGTAGACTCGTTAGCCACTAGGACACCCTTGTCAGGAGTCACACTTACCTGTAGACTCGTCAGCAGCTAGGATGCCCTTGCCAGGAGTCACATTTACCTGTACACTTGTTAGCAGCTAGGACACCCTTGTCAGGAGTCACACTTATCTGTAGACTTGTCAGCAGCTAGGATGGCCTTGTCAGGAGTCACCCTTACCTGTAGACTCGTTAGCAGCTAGGATGGCCTTGTCAAGCGTCACCCTTACCTGTAGACTCGTCAGCAGCTAGGATAGCCTTGTCAAAGGTCACACTTACCTGTAGACTCGTCAGCAGATAGAATGCCCTTGTCAGGAGTCACACTTGTAAACTCGTTAGCAGCTTGGATGGCCTCGTCAGGAGTCACACTTACCTGTAGACTCGTAAACAGCTAGGACACCCTTGTCAGGAGTCACACTTACCTGTAGACTCGTCAGCAGCTAGGATAGCCTTGTCAAGGGTCACACTTACCTATAGACTCGTCAGCAGATAGGATGGCCTTGTCAGGAGTCACACTTACCTGTTGTAGACTTGTTAGCAGCTAGGATGGCCTTGTCAGGTGTCACACTTGTGAACTTGTTAGCAGCTTGGATGGCCTCGTCAGGAGTCACCCTTACCTGTAGACTTGTCAGTAGCTAGGATGGCCTTGTCACGAGTCACCCTTACCTGTAGACTCATCAGCAGCTAGGATGGCCTTGTCACGAGTCACCCTTACCTGTAGACTCATCAGCAGCTAGGATGGCCTTGTCAGGTGTCACACTTGTGAACTCGTTAGCAGCTTGGATGGCCTCGTCAGGAGTCACCCTTACCTGTAGACTTGTCAGTAGCTAGGATGGCCTTGTCAGGAGTCACTATTACTTGTAGACTCGTTAGCAGCTAGGATGGCCTTGTCAGGAGTCATCCTTACCTGTAGACTTGTCAGCAGCTAGGACACCCTTGTCAGGAGTCACACTTACCTGTAGACTTGTCAGCAGCTAGGATGGCCTTGTCAGGAGTCACACTTACCTGTAGACTCATCAGCAGCTAGGATAGCCTTGTCAAAGGTCACACTTACCTGTAGACTCGTAAACAGCTAGGACACCCTTGTCAGGATTCACGATTACCTGTAGACTCCTCAGCAGCTAGGATGGCCTTGTCAGGAGTCACACTTACCTGTAGACTCGTAAACAGCTAGGATGGCCTTGTCAAGATCACACTTACCTGCAGACTCGTAAACAGCTAGGATGGCCTCGTCAGGAGTCACACTTACCTGTAGACTCGTCAGCAGCTAGGATGCCCTTTCCAGTAGCTACTATTGCGTTAGCTATTGTCCTTAGCTCCTCTTCCTGCTTTGCTGATAGGTATTGTGGAAAGGAAGGCATAGTGTCTGTAAAATTTTAAAAACTTCTTCAGACATCTACCATTGTGCGATATCCCAGAGGATAAATTACCTACAGATTAACTTTACAAACAATCTATCGAGTATCAACTTAAAAGCAATAATAAACTTTAACTTTCAAAATCCAAGATGACTGCTTGTCAGCCATTTTCTTTTTTCTGAATGGACACCAGTATTGGACCAAGTGGAACATTCATGTGAAACCCGAGAGCGATCCATCTAATCTTCATCATTGTAAAAGTTGGTGCCTTAATCAACCATGCAGGTGGTCAGTCACAAAATCCAAAGGGCACTGTACCTCCTCACCATGAAATATGAGAAAGATCTATTTATATCTCAAGCAATAATCAGTGACAATAATTCTTCAAGGACAGTTGATGACCAGACAATAAACGAAGAACAGTACACACAGAGTAATTAAAACCAACCAACTGATAGAAGATTAAAGTGTGATGTTTCAGTGACTAGACGGTCACCTTCATCTTATAACACATCCAGTAGAAGAACAGAGTGTGACGTTTCAGTGACTACATGGTCACCTTCATTAGACAAATAACCTACTATTAATGAGGTATTCAGTGTATGAGATGGTAAAGAATCAAGCCTTTTTTTGGCTGTACTATAATCCTTTGTTTACTAAATATAGTGGGACAAGATGGTGAGTAGATTTGTTTGTTCTGAAATATTTAGTTTTTTTTATGATTTATCAAAAGATGAAGTGGCCTATATGTAACATTTTAGCAGCAAAATGAAATCTCAAAAAAGAGATCAGTCATTTTTTGGTTGAGCAGAGATGCGTGTAAAACACTCTAAATATTTCAGTCACTCACCCAAATCAGAGTGTGTATTAATGTAGAAACATATTGAAGTCAGGAAAGACTGTGTATCTCATCCTATATATATTCAATATCTGATATCAAAAGGCAGTCAAGTGATGCATAGTAATAAACCTGAAGCAATAAGACGTGTGTACTGAAGCAATAAGACGTGTGTACTGAAGCAATAAGACGTGTGTACTGAAGCAATAAGACATGTGTACTGAAGCAATAAGACATGTGTACTGAAGCAATAAGACACGTGTATTGAAGCAATAAGACAGGAATACTGAAGCAATAAGACATGTGTACTGAAGCAATTAGACAGGTGTACTGAAGCAATAAGACGTGTGTACTGAAGCAATAAGACATGTGTACTGAAGCAATAAGACACATGTACTGAAGCAATAAGACATATGTACTGAAGCAATAAGACACATGTACTGAAGCAATAAGACATGTGTACTGAAGCAATAAGACACGTGTACTGAAGCAATAAGACATGTGTACTGAAGAGAAAAGACACATGTACTGAAGCAATAAGACACATGTACTGAAGCAATAAGACATGTGTACTGAAGCAATAAGACATGTGTACTGAAGCAATAAGACATGTGTACTGAAGCAATAAGACATGTGTACTGAAGCAATAAGACAGGAATACTGAAGCAATAAGACATGTGTACTGAAGCAATAAGACATGTGTACTGAAGCAATAAGACATGTATACTGAAGCAATAAGACACATGTACTGAAGCAATAAGACACATGTACTGAAGCAATAAGACACATGTACTGAAGCAATAAGACGTGTATACTGAAGCAATAAGACATGTGTACTGAAGCAATAAGACACATGTACTGAAGCAATAACACGTGTATTGAAGCAATAACACGTGTATTGAAGCAATAAGACAGGAATACTGAAGCAATAAGACACATGTACTGAAGCAATAACACATGTATTGAAGCAATAAGACAGGAATACTGAAGCAATAAGACACGTGTACTGAAGCAATTAGACAGGTGTACTGAAGCAATAAGACGTGTGTACTGAAGCAATAAGACATGTGTACTGAAGCAATAAGACACATGTACTGAAGCAATAAGACATATGTACTGAAGCAATAAGACACATGTACTGAAGCAATAAGACATGTGTACTGAAGCAATAAGACACGTGTACTGAAGCAATAAGACATGTGTACTGAAGAGAAAAGACACATGTACTGAAGCAATAAGACACATGTACTGAAGCAATAAGATGTGTGTACTGAAGCAATAAGACACATGTACTGAAGCAATAAGACATGTGTACTGAAGCAATAAGACACATATACTGAAGCAATAAGACACATGTACTGAAGCAATAAGACACATGTACTGAAGCAATAAGACACATGTACTGAAGCAATAAGACATGTGTACTGAAGAGAAAAGACAAGTGTACTGAAGCAATAAGACACGTGTACTGAAGCAATAAGACACATATACTGAAGCAATAAGACACATGTACTGAAGCAATAAGACACATGTACTGAAGCAATAAGACATGTGTACTGAAGCAATAAGACACATGTACTGAAGCAATAACACGTGTACTGAAACAATAAGACAGGAATACTGAAGCAATAAGACACATGTACTGAAGCAATTACATGTGTATTGAAGCAATAAGATGTGTGTACTGAAGCAATAAGACACATGTACTGAAGCAATAAGACGTGTACTGAAGCAATAAGACATGTACTGAAGCAATTAGACGTGTGTACTGAAGCAATAAGACATGTGTACTGAAGCAATAAGACATGTGTACTGAAGCAATAAAACAGGAATACTGAAGCAATAAGACGTGTACTGAAGCAATAAGACAGGAATACTGAAGCAATTAGACACATGTACTGAAGCAATAAGACATGTGTACTGAAGCAATAAGACATGTACTGAAGCAATTAGACGTGTGTACTGAAGCAATAAGACATGTGTACTGAAGCAATAAGACACGTGTACTGAAGCAATAAGACAGGAATACTGAAGTAATAAGACACGTGTACTGAAGCAATAAGACAGGAATACTGAAGCAATAAGACAGGAATACTGAAGCAATAAGACATGTGTACTGAAGCAATAAGACACATGTACTGAAGCAATAAGACCCGTGTACTGAAGCAATAAGACATGTGTACTGAAGAGAAAAGACACATGTACTGAAGCAATAAGACACATGTACTGAAGCAATAAGATGTGTGTACTGAAGCAATAAGACACATGTACTGAAGCAATAAGACATGTGTACTGAAGCAATAAGACACATATACTGAAGCAATAAGACACATGTACTGAAGCAATAAGACACATGTACTGAAGCAATAAGACACATGTACTGAAGCAATAAGACATGTGTACTGAAGCAATAAGACACGTGTACTGAAGCAATAAGACATGTGTACTGAAGAAATAAGACGTGTGTACTGAAGCAATAAGATACATGTACTGAAGCAATAAAACAGGAATACTGAAGCAATAAGACGTGTACTGAAGCAATAAGACAGGAATACTGAAGCAATTAGACACATGTACTGAAGCAATAAGACATGTGTACTGAAGCAATAAGACATGTACTGAAGCAATTAGACGTGTGTACTGAAGCAATAAGACATGTGTACTGAAGCAATAAGACACGTGTACTGAAGCAATAAGACAGGAATACTGAAGTAATAAGACACGTGTACTGAAGCAATAAGACAGGAATACTGAAGCAATAAGACAGGAATACTGAAGCAATAAGACATGTGTACTGAAGCAATAAGACACATGTACTGAAGCAATAAGACACATGTACTGAAGCAATAAGACAGGAATACTGAAGCAATAAGACATGTACTGAAGCAATTAGACGTGTGTACTGAAGCAATAAGACACATGTACTGAAGCAATAAGACATGTGTACTGAAGCAATAAGACAGGAATACTGAAGCAATAAGACAGGAATACTGAAGCAATAAGACACATGTACTGAAGCAATAAGACACGTGTACTGAAGCAATAAGACAGGAATACTGAAGCAATAAGACATGTACTGAAGCAATTAGACAAGTGTACTGAAGCAATAAGACATGTGTACTGAAGCAATAAGACACGTGTACTGAAGCAATAAGACAGGAATACTGAAGCAATAAGACACGTGTACTGAAGCAATAAGACAGGAATACTGAAGCAATAAGACAGGAATACTGAAGCAATAAGACATGTGTACTGAAGCAATAAGACACATGTACTGAAGCAATAAGACACGTGTACTGAAGCAATAAGACAGGAACACTGAAGCAATTAGACAGGTATACTGAAGCAATAAGACAGGAATACTGAAGCAATAAGACACATGTACTGAAGCAATAAGACAGGTGTACTGAAGCAATAAGACACATGTACTGAAGCAATAAGACAGGAATACTGAATCAATAAGACGTGTACTGAAGCAATAAGACAGGAATACTGAAGCAATAAGACATGTGTACTGAAGCAATAAGACAGGAATACTGAAGCAATAAGACACATGTACTGAAGCAATAAGACAGGAATACTGAAGCAATAAGACACATGTACTGAAGCAATAAGACAGGAATACTGAAGCAATAAGACACATGTACTGAAGCAATAAGACGTGTGTACTGAAGCAATAAGACACATGTACTGAAGCAATAAGACGTGTGTACTGAAGCAATAAGACACATGTACTGAAGCAATAAGACACATGTACTGAAGCAATAAGACCCATGTACTGAAGCAATAAGACAGGAATACTGAAGCAATAAGACATATGTACTGAAGCAATAAGACATGGTTAAAGTCAGTTTTGTCTCCAATAATGTGATGCTGATAAATTGGTGATAAATTTAGAAAGTGATTAAAAATTTCCTGCTAATCCATTATTGTTTTATTTTGGTAGTAAAAAAATGATGAATTTCTTTTCTGTATCTTTGGTTGTAGAATCCTCCTTTTAGTACTTTTTGTTTTGTTTTTGTAAAATAAAGTTTATCTTTACTTGTATAAGGAACTTCATTTTTGTAAAAGAAAGAAAATTATAACACAAGCTTCTAAAGATACCCCTAGAGATATCATGTTTTCTGTGATACAAAGTAACACGTGTTTCTATAGACAGCCAGAGGAGTCAGACTGATTATACTCACATAGAACTTACAACTACAAAACAGGAAAACAAACTACAGTTTTGTTTTGGCCTTGGCACAGTCAGTGATACAGGTGTTTTGGCAACTAAATCCTAAAGATAGTTGTATTATATGATATACCTCAGTAGATATATATATTCTTAAGTATCAAACGTATCACTTACAACTTAGAGTCCTTCTACATTCTCTATAGATAATTGTATAAATGCAAACATGACATCTTAAAGGTACATTGTATATATAGATATATATTTCAGTAGAAGAAATGTATCTCAGCTTTCATTTCTTTCTCACAAATAGCTGTGTAGAGGATACTTCATTAGATGAGTGACTGGACTGGTTGTATTATCGACTAGCTGACGAGTATATGTCAAGGTCAAACTTTTGTCCCTGAACTTTAAATCAGCATTACCATTGTCATAAGATATATACTCAGTATACATCATCAGGGGTCAGTGTCAGGGAGGAAGAACTCTCCCCTAAAACTTGTGTAAAACCATTAAAAAGACTTACTTGGTGAGATCTGTCCACTTGCCTTTAGTTTGATCTAAAGGTAGGTCACATCATGATCAGGACAAATTGATAAGGCCTGGCTTATCATATCTATGTTACCAGAAATATCCTATTTACAGTGCCGGTCTTAAATCTCACCATCACCCTTACAGTGCCGGTCTTAAATCTCACCATCACCCTTACAGTGCCTGTCTTAAATCTCACCATCACCCTAGCAGTGCCTGTCTTAAATCTCACCATCACCCTTACAGTGTCTGTCTTAAATCTCACCATCACCCTTACAGTGCCCGTCTTAAATCTCACCATCACCCTTACAGTGTCGGTCTTAAATCTCACCATCACCCTTACAGTGCCCGTCTTAAATCTCACCATCACCCTTACAGTGCCCGTCTTAAATCTCACCATCACCCTTACAGTGTCTGTCTTAAATCTCACCATCACCCTTACAGTGTCTGTCTTAAATCTCACCATCACCCTTACAGTGCCCGTCATAAATCTCACCATCACCCTTACAGTGTCTGTCTTAAATCTCACCATCACCCTTACAGTGCCCGTCTTAAATCTCACCATCACCCTTACAGTGCCCGTCTTAAATCTCACCATCACCTTTACAGTGCCCGTCTTAAATCTCACCATCACCCTTACAGTGTCTGTCTTAAATCTCACCATCACCCTTACAGTGCCCGTCTTAAATCTCACCATCACCCTTACAGTGCCTGTCTTAAATCTCACCATCACCCTTACAGTGCCTGTCTTAAATCTCACCATCACCCTACAGTGCCTGTCTTAAATCTCACCATCACCCTTACAGTGTCTGTCTTAAATCTCACCATCACCCTTACAGTGTCTGTCTTAAATCTCACCATCACCCTTACAGTGCCTGTCTTAAATCTCACCATCACCCTTACAGTGCCTGTCTTAAATCTCACCATTACAGTGCCTGTCTTAAATCTCACCATCACCCTTACAGTGCCCGTCTTAAATCCCACCATCACCCTTACAGTGTCCGTCTTAAATCTCACCATCACCCTAGCAGTGCCGGTCTTAAATCTCACCATCACCCTTACAGTGCCTGTCTTAAATCTCACCATCACCCTTACAGTGTCCGTCTTAAATCTCACCATCACCCTAGCAGTGCCGGTCTTAAATCTCACCATCACCCTTAAAGTGCCCGTCATAAATCTCACCATTACCCTTACAGTGTCTGTCTTAAATCTCACCATCACCCTTACAGTGTCCGTCTTAAATCTCACCATCACCCTAGCAGTGCCGGTCTTAAATCTCACCATCACCCTTACAGTGCCCGTCATAAATCTCACCATCACCCTTACAGTGCCTGTCTTAAATCTCACCATCACCCTTACAGTGCCCGTCTTAAATCTCACCATCACCCTTACAGTGTCTGTCTTAAATCTCACCATCACCCTTACAGTGTCTGTCTTAAATCTCACCATCACCCTTACAGTGTCTGTCTTAAATCTCACCATCACCCTTACAGTGCCCGTCATAAATCTCACCATCACCCTTACAGTGTCTGTCTTAAATCTCACCATCACCCTTACAGTGCCCGTCATAAATCTCACCATCACCCTTACAGTGCCTGTCTTAAATCTCACCATCACCCTTACAGTGTCTGTCTTAAATCTCACCATCACCCTTACAGTGTCTGTCTTAAATCTCACCATCACCCTTACAGTGTCTGTCTTAAATCTCACCATTACCCTCACAGTGTCTGTCTGAAATCTCACCATCACCCTTACAGTGTCTGTCTTAAATCTCACCATTACCCTCACAGTGTCTGTCTGAAATCTCACCATCACCCTTACAGTGCCTTGTTACAAGGATCTGTGCTCTAGAGGTGTGTTACAAGTCCTCTTGAGGTGAAATCCATTAGTCACGAACAGGATATATAAACTGTGATCAAATATCTAGGAATGTAGGATTTATAATTGTGATTCAATGAACCTGTCATTCTCTTAAGTGTATTATTTGTTCACGGTATACTTAAGGTGTATTGGTATAAAAAAAAAACTCCACTGGAAACTCAGTATACAAATGTTTATCAAAAGATTATTTCCCTGTTTAATGTATGTAAAAATCGTTTCAGAAGTCTGAAAACTTTCCATACATTATAAATGGGGTTACAGTCGTACATCGTTCAAAATGCTTTCCATACATGTTCCTTCTGTTAGTTCTAATCATTGGCAGAATATATACAAACTAGTCTTATATATTCCTGTGGATGGTTAATCAGTCAATGATATCAACACGAGTTCAAGGATGTAGAGAATTCCATCCACGCTTTCCTTTCTTTCTAGAAACTTAAACACGATGGAGTTGACTACCACGATAGCGTGTTGATCGCGACATGTCACAGATAAATAGCTGCATGATCTTTTTGTATTTTTCCCAGGGTTCAAAGTCCAAACGGGCAAATACCCACGAAAATGAGGTTATGATAACAACACTCTCAAATAAGTATCTGTATGAAACTAGACCTGTCGCCATTACGATTTCTTGATCAAACTGAAATAACCGTGGGGTTTAGTGCACCTATTTCATAAGTAGGGACGACATGGCTGTAGTTATTGCATAAGAACAATATACACGACGTGGCTGCGAGAGGCCAACGTGGACACCAGTTAATATTAGGCCAAAACTTACATGAGTTTCAAATGTGGTGTTTTACTTACGAGTCTAAAATGTTAAACAATCGGTCTAGCGAATGATGAATCTCAAGTGTATTTTCGAGCTCCTCGGACCGTAGTGTGTATCCCGGGACGGTGTTTACTTTCAGCTTGGGTAGACGTGTGCTGATTTGGAGGTGTGTCACAGCATAGCAATCTGATTGGTTACTGCTATGACCTTCACCTTGACCTACCAGCTGTGTAAACGTACAGCTGAGTAAATAGCATTTGGTATCCCGAGATATTTAGGTTACTACGTTTCATGTATACATTTTTAGAACAAACACACATTTAATCAAAGATGGCATCCTACCCACAGCTTATCTTTCCAATCAGTCATAGAACAACGACAAATATTAGCAGAGACTTAAAAGAGTGGATTACCCAGCTGCTTATTAAACGTCGTGTTTTAAAACGATAAAGCTCCGTGGAGTTATTCTTACCAGAGACGATGAAAAACGAAAAAACATAAAAACAAGATACAAATTATTACAGAAAAAAAGCATACATTAAAGATAAATAATTAAGCACTAAAACACGGAAAGCAGGCAGCAGAACACTAATGAAAATATTATACAAGTACTGCATCTACAACCATCCCAGGTGTCCAAGGTCCTCCGAATGGCTGGGAATTAGGCCTCAGTCTGTCGAATGTCATTCGGAAGGCTGTTCCACACCTTTGATGCCTCTGACATGTGGGACCTGAACTCTCTGGTCTGAAATTACATTTTAGAAGATTTCAAATTCACAAGATCTGAAATGTATTACGGAGAGAGACAATTTAGAATCTTAAAAACTTCCATAGCCATACTTTTGATACGTCTGACAAGGAGATATGAACATTTGTTGTTTTCTAAAAGAACATGTACACTCAAAGGACAACTAAAATCACTCAATAGACATGACTTTCCGTTCTTGTATCTTCTCAGGTTTCTAATATTTTTTGCTGATTTCAAAAATGCCATGCAACTGGACAGTAGTTAAACTTTGAACAGATAAAAGAATTGAGTTATCTTGCATGTCTTAGGTTACCACCGATTTTTTTAAGTATACACCATTGTTTGAAATATGTAAAGAAAAGTTCAATAGATGATCAATATCAGTCCCTAATAGTTTAACAGAATCTTCACATTTAACATCATTACAACCAATATCAAAAGAAGAGATACATTCATGTGCTTTTTCACCTAAACAGATAGCTTGGAATTTAGTAGGATTAGCTTGAATACTGTTATCACTAAACTATTCAATTATAGTTTGGCTGCACTTTCTAGTACATTAGAGGGTCTACCAGGATCATCACTGATGTGAGACAAAATGTTGCTGTATACAGAGTACAATTCTGAATATCATAAAAGATGTCATTAATAAGAATGTTGAATAAAAGAAGGCCAACAATTGACCCCTGAGGTACCACTTCCATCATATTGTAACCCTGGTAAAATACTAGCCGCAATATACCACTCGGCTAGAGAGAACTTCTCTTTAGCTTGATTGGTTGAGCGTCAGACTAGTAAGCCAGGGGTCCCGGGTTCGATTCCTAGCGGAGGCATTGAGATGAAAAATGACCTCTGTTACATTGGCGCCGACGTAGGGACCCGGGAATAGTACTTAGCCATGTCCCACCAGCATCGCTGTAACCCCTGGAAACTCGAGGACGAGTTATTTCCTGGAGGGGGAGTATGTAACCCTGGTAAAATACTAGCCACAATATACCACTCGGCTAGAGAGAACTTCTCTTTAGCTCGATTGGTTGAGCGTCAGACTAGTAAACCAGGGGTCCCGGGTTCGATTCCTAGGCATTGAGATGAAAAATGACCTCTGTTACATTGGCGCCGACGTAGGGACCCGGGAATAGTACTTAGCCATGTCCCACCAGCATCGCTGTAACCCCTGGAAACTCGAGGACGAGTTATTTCCTGGAGGGGGAGTTCCTGGTAAAATACTAGGAGGCATTGAGATGAAAAATGACCTCTGTTACAATATGCTTACAGATACTGGACCCAAGACCAGTGCGCTGGCATCTGTTGCTGAAATAGCTGCAGACCAGATCAATGGATGGGCAGTCCAACCCATAGACCCTCAGCTTCTCCAGCAACAGTCCATAGGCCTTGGAAAAGTTCATCAAGATGGCACCAACGTATTTGTTGTTTTCCCGAGGTCAGACCTGCAGGAGTCACAGAACCGTGATCAGGCACTGAAAGCCCTACATGAAAGCAGACCAAAAAGGATTAAAAAAAGGTTCAAAGAACAAGGAGAGTTGGTTATGCATAACTCTCAAAAACTTTAGACAATGCAGGCAAAACATTGACAGGTCTATAATTCTCCTTATCTAGGGGGAAAGGGAAGGGGTAGAGGGTAGGAGGTATGGGGTGGAGAGGGGAGAGGGTAGGGGGTAGGGGATGAAGGGTAGAGGGTACTAATATGAGGTTTATATATGGTAAGGATTATGACACGAGACTGACTGTGAAGGACACATAGCCACACAGGTACTAATAAGTCATTTCATATGTTGAATTTAGTACTGCATGTACTTCTTACAATTTGTGTAATTTTTATAGTTGATAATTTTCATACTGAAATGATGTTGATGGAAGTGACATGTTGGTCGCAGGATCTTGTAACAAAGTTTCTTGAAGAGGGTGATGGGGAGGGGATGGTGAGGGGGAGCAGAGGAGGGGAGGGGGACGGAAGGTATTGTATAGCGATAGTATTCAATAAACAAGCTTTTTGTCACCACGAAGAATGGATCCTTCTAGAGAGGCCAAACAAAGGGACCTGCACTGCTTATCTGGTGTTCAATATTTTAAATTATTATCAAAGCTATACCACCCAAGGCTGAACATTATTTATCTAGGACTGGTATAACACTCGAGGCTGAACATTATTTATCTAGGACTGGTATAACAGTCGAGGCTGAACATTATTTATCTAGGACTGGTATAACACTCGAGGCTCAACGTTATATATCTAGGACTGGTGTAACACTCGGAGCTGAACATTATTTGTCTAGGACTGGTATAACACTCGAGGCTGAACATTATTTATCTAGGACTGGTATAACACTCGAGGCTGAACATTATTTATCTAGGACTGGTATAACACTCGGAGCTGAACATTATTTATCTAGGACTGGTATAACACTCGGAGCTGAACATTATTTATCTAGGACTGGTATAACACTCGAGCTGAACATTATTTATCTAGGACTGGTATAACACTCGGAGCTGAACATTAATTATCTAGGACTGGTATAACACTCGGAGCTGAACATTATTTATCTAGGACTGGTATAACACTCGGAGCTGAACATTATTTATCTAGGACTGGTATAACACTCGGCTGAGCTGAACATTAGGACTATCTAGGAGGAACATTATTTATCTAGGACTGGTATAACACTCGAGGCTGAACATTATTTATCTAGGACTGGTATAACAGTCGAGGCTGAACATTAATTATCTAGGACTGGTATAACACTCGGAGCTGAACATTAATTATCTAGGACTGGTATAACAGTCGAGGCTGAACATTATTTATCTAGGACTGGTATAACACTCGGAGCTGAACATTAATTATCTAGGACTGGTATAACATTATTTATCTAGGAGGTATAACTCAAACATTATTATTTATCTAGGACTGGTATAACACTCGGAGCTGAACATTATTTATCTAGGACTGGTATAACACTCGGAGCTGAACATTATTTATCTAGGACTGGTATAACACTCGGAGCTGAACATTATTTATCTAGGACTGGTATAACACTCGAGGCTGAACATTATTTATCTAGGACTGGTATAACACTCGAGGCTGAACATTATTTATCTAGGACTGGTATAACACTCGCAGCTGAACATTATTTATCTAGGACTGGTATAACACTAGAGGCTGAACATTATTTATCTAGGACTGGTATAACACTCAGAGCTGAACATTATTTGTCTAGGACTGGTATAACACTCAGAGCTGAACATTATTTATCTAGGACTGGTATAACACTAGAGGCTGAACATTATTTGTCTAGGACTGGTATAACACTCGAGGCTGAACGTTATTTATCTAGGACTGGTATAACACTCGAGGCTGAACGTTATTTATCTAGGACTGGTATAACACTCGAGGCTGAACGTTATTTATCTAGGACTGGTATAACAGTCGAGGCTGAACATTATTTATCTAGGACTGGTATAACACTCGAGGCTGAACATTATTTATCTAGGACTGGTATAACACTCGAGGCTGAACATTATTTATCTAGGACTGGTATAACACTCGAGGCTGAACATTATTTATCTAGGACTGGTATAACACTCGAGGCTGAACATTATTTATCTAGGACTGGTATAACACTCGAGGCTGAACATTATTTATCTAGGACTGGTATAACAGTCGAGGGCTGAACATTATTTATCTAGGACTGGTATAACACTCGAGGCTGAACATTATTTATCTAGGACTGGTATAACACTCGGAGCTGAACATTATTTATCTAGGACTGGTATAACACTCGAGGCTGAACATTATTTATCTAGGACTGGTATAACACTAGAGGCTAAACGTTAATTATCTAGGACTGGTATAACACTCGAGGCTGAACATTATTTATCTAGGACTGGTATAACACTCGGAGCTGAACATTATTTATCTAGGACTGGTATAACACTAGAGGCTAAACATTAATTATCTAGGACTGGTATAACACTAGAGGCTGAACATTATTTATCTAGGACTGGTATAACAGTCGAGGCTGAACATTAATTATCTAGGACTGGTATAACACTCGGAGCTGAACATTATTTATCTAGGACTGGTATAACACTCGAGGCTAAACATTATTTATCTAGGACTGGTATAACACTCGGAGCTGAACATTATTTATCTAGGACTGGTATAACACTCGAGGAGCTGCTGAACATTATTTATCTAGGACTGGTATAACACTCGGAGCTGAACATTATTTATCTAGGACTGGTATAACACTCGAGGCTGAACATTAATTATCTAGGACTGGTATAACACTCGAGGCTGAACATTATTTATCTAGGACTGGTATAACACTCGAGGCTGAACATTAACTATCTAGGACTGGTATAACACTAGAGGCTGAACAT